AGCAGCAGACGATGCATCCCCACGTACTCCTGTAGGCACACCTCTTCCTTTTGCTGTGGACGAGGCAGGAAGGTTCTTATCTGCTGCTGTTCCTGCTGCTGCTGTTGCTGCTGTTGCTGCTGTTGTTGCTGCTGCTGCTGCACCAGAGTCCCCACTGTCTAATGGCATCTCCCTGTACAACAATAACAATAAACCCTAAACCCTAAACCCTAAACCCTAGCCTTTTTTCTTGCTATACAGTATAAGCAGCAGAAGCAACAACAGCAGCACCACCACCAAGAGCAGCAGCAACAGCAGCAGCAACAACAACAGCAGCAGCAGCAGCAGCAGCAGCAGCTAACCAATCCCTAAAGTGCCAATCTCTGAATGCCATCGCCACCGCCAATATTTGCAGAGCGCGCATATCATGCAAATTCCCCTGCAGCAACTCCCACACCTGAGCAGCAGCAGCAGCAGCAGCAGCAGCAGCAACAGCAGCAGCAGCAATATATATAGCAGCAGCAGGTATAGAATAGCAACAACAGTACGAATAACAGCAACAACAGCAGCACAACAACAACAATCCCTCCACCCCCACCAGAAGCAGCAGCACCATCAACAGCAGCAGCACCATCATCAGCAGCAGCAGTAGCAGCAACAGCAGCAACAGCAGCAGCAGCAGCAGCAGCAGCAAGAGTACCTGATAGACTAAATGTATAGATGTAGGTGTCCAATAAGATAAGAAATCAATAGAAGAAATTAAATTAATTAATTGCTGATTATCTAATTTATTTATTATTAATATATTCTTCTTCTTATTATAAGGACAAGGAGGGACCTATACATAAATAAATAAATAAATAAATAAATATATATATATATAAATATATAATTAGTAAATATATTTATATAGTTAGTTAGTTAGCTAGTTAGTTATTATCTAATTTATTTATTATTAATATATTCTTCTTATTATTATAAGGACAAGGAGGGACCTATAAATTAATAAATAAATAAATAAATAAATAAATAAATAAATAAATAAATAAATAAATAAATTTAGTTAGTTGTTATATATAAGGAAAGAGACAGAGATTGAGGGGATTAAGAGGAGGATCTATTCATATTTTTATATACAAGAAACCCTAAACCCTAAACCCTAAACCCTAAACCCTAAACCCTAAACTTACTGCTGGATAGCAGAAAGGAGATGGTGCAGGATTACGATCATCTGCAAGGCACAAACAGCAAACCCTAAACCCTAAGATGAGCTGCTGCTGCTGCTGCTATTGCTGCTACTGCTGCTGCTGCTGCTGCAAGAGAAAGTTGCCAAGACTGGGCGTCGTGACTAATTTAGGGTTTAGGGTTTAGGGTTTAGGGTTTGTATACGGAAGAGTGTATTAAGTCCTTGTCCCTGTGTCTGCATAATCCATGACTGTCCTCCTGACCCTTCTTGCTGCTGCTGTTGCTGCTGCTGCTGCTCTTCCTTACTGCTGCTGCTGCTGCTGCTGCTGCTGCTGCTGCTGCTCTCTTGTCCTGTTAATATATTAAGAAGAAAAGAAATAATATTTATATCTCTTATCTGCATTTGTGCTAAACAAAACAAAACATTTGCTGCTTGCTGCCCTGTTAATTCCTCTGGTAACTGACGCAGCAGCAGCAGCACACGAGGAACTGCCCAACCTGCAGCAGCAGCAGCAACAACAGCAGCAACAGCAACACCAGCAGCTTTAGCTATAGCGGTAGCAGCAAGGGTAGTACAGCAGCAACAGCAGCAACAGCAGCAACAGCAACAGCAGCATCATCAAACCCATAACCACAACGAGCACCACCAGCAACAGCAGCAGCAGCAGCAGCAGCAACAGCAGCAGCAGCAGCAGCAGCAGGAGCCTACGCATAAATGTTTTTAATTGTTGATCTCCTTCTTGCTGTTTATAAAATTGTGCATAAATTAATAATAATTGGCATAAACAAACTTTTGTTGCTGCTGCTGGATAATATATATTTATCTGCATGCATGCATGCATGCATGCAGCAGCAGCAACAGCAGCAGCGACAGCAGCAGCACAAGCAGGACAAGGAAAAACAAATATATATACACAATACAGAACTGCTAGCTAGCTAGCTAGCTAGCCAATGACTACAGGAACTTGAATGCGTGTCTGTCTGTCTCATGCGTTGCTGTTTGCTGCTGCTGCTGCTGTTGCTGTTGCTGCTGTTGCTGCTGCTGCTGCTGCTTACCTTTGTGGCTAGCTGCAGCAACGGTAGGTGTAAGTAGCCCATACGACCCATCACAGTTGTCTGTATACCACAGAGAGACGCACATACGAATGCATGCATGCAGCAACAGCAGCAGCAGCAGCAGCAGCAGCAGCAACAGCAGTAGCAGCAGTAGCAGCAGCAGTAGCAGCAGCAGCAGCAGCAGCAGGGGTAGCATGTGTAGTTGCCTCGTGGTCTTACGGATAGAGTAAGGGACTGCAGCAGCGCATTCTGCAGGGAGGAGAGTTGCTGCGGCTGCTGCTGCAGCTGGTGCAGCTGCTGCTGCTGCTGCTGATGTAGCTGCGCATACAGCCGAGAAGCAGCACGTGTAAATTTGCTGCTAAATGCATGCAGCAGCAAAGGGTTTACATGACGCAGACGAAAGAAGCCTAGCAGCAGCTGACCGCATGCAAAGTGAGACAAATTGCCGCTGCTGCTGTTGCTGCTGCTGCTGCTGTTGTTGTTGCTGTTGCTGCTGCTGCTGCTGTTGCCGCATCGATACATGGCCGAGTTGCACAGACACTGCAGCAGCAGCAGCACACACAAAGCAGCAAAAGGTTCTAATTAAGCAGATAGGACGACACCAGCAGGAACAGGTGCAGCAACAGCAGCAACAGCAGCAACAGCAGCAGCAACAGCAGCAGCAGCAGCAGCAGCAATACTTACCTCTAGCAAGTCTTGCTGCAGTTTATTATCTGCTGCCTTTGCTTGCTGCTTCCCTAAGGATTGAACTAAGGACGTAAATACATAATCAGGCAGCAAATCGAGTACACTTGTTGCTGCTGCTGCTGCTGCTGCTGGTGCTGCTGCTGTTGTTGTTGGTGGTGTTGTTCCTGTTGCTGCAGCTGCTGCAGCTGCTGCAGGAGAAGCTCTTACTGCTGCAGCAGAAGAAACAACAACAGCAATTAGATCTATTAGCCTCTGCGTATATACATCAAGGCGTGCCTCTAGCTGCAGCAGCGCATGCAGCAGCAGCAGCAACTGCAGCAGTTGCTGCCCTGTATCACCAGCTGCAGCTTCTTTTGCTGCTGCAGCAATCGCAGCAGCAGCAGAAGATTCATCTCCTAATAACTCTACTGTTGCTCCAACAGCAAATGCTGCTCTGTCAGCAGCTCGTGCTGCTCTTGCTGCTGCTGCTGTTGCTGCTGTTGCTGCTGCTGCTGCTGTTGCTGCTGTTGCTGCTGCTGCTGCATCCGTTGCTGCACCTAGTCCGCCTTGAGCTGCAGCAAGAGCAGCAATTGCTGTAGGATCAACACCTTCCTTTGCTGCTTCTGCTGCTGCTGCTGCAGCAGCAGCAGCAGCAATTTGCTGCGCTAGTGCAGCAGCTTGAGGGAAGCAGAAGTAAACAATTCTTCTAGTAAGATGATGAGAGACACAAACGGAGACAGTTGGTGCTGCTGCTGCGGCTGCTGCTGTTGCTGCTGTTGGTGCTGCTGCTGCTGCTGCTGCAGCAGCAGCAAAAGATAAACTTGCTGCTTCCTTAAGAGAAAAAGAAGGAGATCGCCACATCAATGCATGCAGCAAACTTTTACGAACTGTGCATACACTTGGTGATTTGCCATCTGCTGCTGCTGCTGCTGCTTCTGCTGCTGCTGCTGCTGTAGACGGTGAGGACAAGGAGGGACTCTCTGCTGCTGCTGCTACTTCTGCTGCTTCTGCTGCTGCCTCGGCTGCTGCTTCTGCTGCTGCTGCTTCGCAATCCTTCGATGCAACGTCTTCGTCCGCTGCTGAGTTGCGCTGCTGCTGCTTCTGCTGCTTTTGCTGTTGCTGCTGTTGCTGCTGTTGCTGCTGTGGATTGTATCGTTGCAGTGCCTGCAGCAGCCGCAGCAGATTCTCGTTGCTTACTGAGGACTTTGCTGCTGCTGCTGCTGCTTCTGATAACATCAGCTGTCTAACCACTCTATCCCTGCTTCCTGTTGCCGGTGCTGCTGCTGCTGTTGCTGCTGCTGTTGCTGCTGTTGCTGCTGTTGTTCCTGCAGAGTGTGGCACGGGGACGAAGTGCTGCCTCCTTGTTTTGCTGCAGCGAATGAGCGAATCCTTCCGTCCTCCTCCCCTGCAGCTGCTGCTGCGTCTGTTGCTGCTGCTGTTGCTGCTCCTGCTGCTGCTGCTGCTAGGAAGGAGCTTGAATACACTTGTTAATGGCTGTACACAGAGGTGACCTATGGAAGGCAGCCACCAACTAGGCAGCAGCGGCAGCAGCAAACCTGCTGCTGCTGCTGCTGCTGCATCTGTCTCTAGGCATATGTGCTGCTGCAGGGATTTCTTCAGCAGCAGCACGCGCCTTCTGTATACGTCCTCATCATCATCATCTGCTGCTGCTGCTGCTTCTGCTTCTGTTGCTGCTGCTGTATCAGCAGCAATTGCAGCAGCAACATCCGTTGCTGCAGGTGCTGCTGCTGTTGTTTCTGCTGCTGCTGTTGCTGCTGCTGCTGCTGCTGCTGCTGTTTGTGTCTCCTGCGGTGTGCTGTGAAGAGAATTCAAATCAGCCGAAGGAAACAACGAAAGGACGCTGCTGCTGCTGCTGCTGCTGCTGCTGCTGCTGCTGTTGCTGCTTCTGCTGCTGCTGCTGATGCATGCTGCCGCTGCCTGTCTTGCCTCCTGCTCCAGTGCGAATGATACAGTCTTCCACAACTCAGAGTGCATGCTGCTGCTGCTGCTGCTGTTGCTGCTGCTGCTGCTGCTGCTATTGCTGCTGTTGCTGCTGCGGTTGCTTCCGAAGAAACGAAGCAGCGCCATAACGGCAACACGCAAGACAGCAGCAG